CTCCTTTTAAAAAGTGGGGAAAATAAGACTCAGGGAAGTTAAGTAACACATGTGAAATCCAGTAGCTTGTGTGTGGTCATGAAGTCAGACCAGGGCCATTTGACTCCAAAGCCAGTGACGTCTCCATTGGACTACAGAGCCGCTGTAGGTGACAGCTAATATGCCCACATGCCTAGCCATATAGACACCTAGAATCATGGGGGTGGAGGGGGTGAGTTTCATCTATTCTGTCTTCTCTAATTCAAAGGGAGAGTCCTAGAGGTGACAATTTAGGACTTGTATTTAATTTAGCCATATGAGACTTTGGTACCAAGGGCTGCAGGCATTACCCATGTCTCTACCAAGCGTTGGCCTTTCTTAGACAACAGATTATAACAGCTTCCTGTCATCACCATGAGTTTTGGGGGCCACCCTAGAAAGCTCCTTCTGCCTCTCTGCAGAAAAGGAACAAGCACGGTTACTGTTTAAATTTTTATGCATTTAGCTTGAAGGAAAAGCTTGATTTTTTCCCCCATGAGTGCACACAATGAGTGATTTCATCAGGAGAAAACAAAACAAAACAGAACAAACAAAACAAAAACAAAACCAACTTTGCCTCCAACGCAAGTCTGTACCTCAGCATGGCACCAAATCCCTTCCTCTTTATTTTCCTTTCCGGATCTTCATTTTCCTCTTTCTGCTTTTTCTCCTTGACTTTCAATTTGCCCTTTTCCTTCTTCTTCTCTTTCTCTTTCGTTTTTTTGACTTTCCTGGCTTTATTTTCTATGTCCTCTAGCTCAGAGTTCCCCTGAGGGACAGATTCACAATTCAGAGCTCCTTGGCCGGAGTGAGAGCTCTTATCAGACAGACCGTCTGTACAGAGGAAAAAAAAAAAAATCAATACACGTGGTCAGGAGCACTTACTGTTAGCATATCAAGAAAAGTTAAAATGTAAAATACAGAACGAATAAAAGCACTCTGGAGTTCTTCCCTTCCACGTGGATACTTGTACCCTTTGAAGAGACAACTGCCTAAATCTGGTGACTTCGAGTAAGGTTCGATGTTGGGAGTGGGGGACGACTGGTTGCTTAGTCAGTACTATAAAAGGTTTGATATGTGGTAAAACACTAATCTCTCTGAAAGCCAGCTTGTTAACCTTGATCAGCTCAGAAAGCTCACATGCTGTGAAACAAACAGGGTGAGCTATTTCCAGGAGAGGTTTTTGAGTACAAAAATAACCCAACTGCTTCTACCCAATTAATGCAGTCAGTCCTCTGGTTGATTCTGCTTCTAATGACTCCAATAAGAATGTCAAGAAATGCATACTTAGTGTGCCTACCCTAAGGGTAAATGACAGTTGGTCCTTGTAGGAAAGTGAAGGAGAACATTTCTTTAGCATTCGCACTGTAAAATAAATTGCATATTGCCTTAACCAATTCCATGTTCATTAAGCCAAAGGGCAAAACATATCAGGAAAATGAATTACTTTTAATATCAAAAATATAATTGGGATCTTTAAATCATTTTTCTCCATAGTTAAGCACACATTCTCGCCTATGATTCGTGGGCAATAATGAGAAGAAGAAACCGTTTAAGGAAGCATGTCACCCTACCAGCTTCCAGTTCCTCAGGTCCATCGTAAGATTTGTCAATGGCTGCTCTGAAGCTCTCATTGCAGCCGCGGCCGCGGACCATGTGTGGTCGGGGCCTGTGGAAGGGAAGTTCGTTCTTCCTGACCTCGGCAACGGCAGTCTGCAGGCTCTCCAAGGAACTGGACTTTTTCAAACCCAGAGTTGGACCGAAACCTTTGCCTGGAGATTCTGGAAAAGAAAGGGCAAGAGGTCATCCCGCCCCTAATGAGGCATGTGTGGTATGTGGAAAGCTTTGCTGCTCCAAAGACATTTCTGTTTGGGCATTGTGAAAAGGGAGTGTTAAATGTGGGACTTGGGGATAAACCCCAGCTTTGCCACATTTTGTGACTTTGAGCAAGTGGCTTGACTTCTCTGAGTCTTAGTTTCCTTTTGTAAAGTTGTACTAAGATTTAAAATGATTATATATTATATATAGAAATAAGTATGTAGGTAGGTACATGCACACACACATATATATATATGAATGTGAAAAGTTACTGCAGTCTACAGAGATATGTATGAGTGTGTATATGACTATGTGTGTATATGTACACACACTCACACAACACATCCACAGAGCACCTAACATAATGAATGCTTCTCTCCCAGTACCCATTCTAGGCACTCCCATAGATTGTAGCTTGTATTATTCCATCATTGTTTTTTTGATTATTAAGTAACATACTATACATGGAAATCAAAGAACATTGAAATGACTGTAATTTTTGTGATCAAATACTTTATCTTACTCTAGTGGCCAGTAATGTATGGTGAATGCAATTTATTTAGTCAATAGGTAAATGAAGCAAGGTAATGTTAATGCTTATTGTTCCAAATTATTTCTGTTTGGACATTTACAAAAGGGGCAACATTTTTTATATGATATAATATTCCAAAAGGAAAAAGATAAAACCTAAGTAAATTTTAATAACTTGGGTTCTGATAGATAATATTTTTTACTTGCGCTGTTTGTCTTGCCCTGTATCTGCCCCCATTCACTCATGCCTCGACCTCCATTCCCACCCACAGCCAGGCTCCCGGTCGTCCATAACAGGATTAGGCTATATAAATACCAGCAGCACAAGGTTTATTTTAAAGATGGAAGGAATTCAATCAGGGATCTTTTCCACCAGAGCCAAAGCTCACGATCCTCTCCAGTTACGAAGGAGATTATTATCATGAAGAGGCTACACTTGCATTACTGGGTATAAACTACTTTGTAGTTTTTCAGTAGATACAGACTGAGTGCATACTAAGGGGTATGTATATAAAGTACCTATACTTCAACGCCTAGCACACAGGAAGGCTCGCTAAACAGCACTATCTTTTCTTCCTGTGATCACTATTTCTGCTTCTACTACTGTCCCCATCATAAACACTACCACTAATTGCTTAACGTAGTGCTAGGTTATACAAGGAATACAAAAGTACAGCAAAGGTGAAATGCCTAAATAAACGCACATAAAGTTAAATAACGACACACATCCTTCTACATGTTCTGAATTTGTTAAAAATAGTCAAAATAATGACAAAAATGTTAACAGCTTATAATGTGCAGAGTGCTTAGCCCTGCTCTAAGTGCTTTACCTACATTAACTTACTATAACCCTTACTGTTGTGTTACTGCACGATTGTTAGTCCCATTTTACAGATGAGAAAATTGAGGCACAGAGCAGTGAGAGATCTGGTCTAAAGTTACAGACTTAATAAACGTCAGGACTGGGAACGGTACTAAGGCAACCTACCTACCTTTTCTGCCCCATACTACCTAAAGTAGTCCTTGGCCTCCACCCTCTACTTGATTATGGTCAAGCTACTTAAACTGGCGTACAGAGTCTTCATCTTTAAAATAAGAGCATTAGTTTAGATTACCTAGTTAAGCAGGCAAATTGCAAAAAAAAAAAAATTTTTTTTTATAGTTTCATCATTAACTTACGGAAGGCAATTTTGTACTTGGAACAATATATATGATGACAATAAACACTGCATACATTTTGTAGTGTATTTCAATAAATTCAACAGAGATGAGACTAAGCAAAAAGGACAATTGTAGGAATTTCAGATGCTACTTGTGAGCCATAAATACTGAAAGTACATTACTACTAAATGTAGAAAAGGGCATTTTTTTTTTATATATTCCCAGGAAGGAGGGTAAGTCAAAGACACAGAAATCGAGTAAGATCATTTCTGACAAGAAAACAAAAAGCAACATGGAGGCCTGAGGTATTTAAGCAACAGTGAAAGCTTTGGAGATTGCAGAAAATATTTTCTACCATCAAGCCCTAGGTATGTCTGATACGAAGTTTGGTGAAAACACAAAGATGAAAACTATCTGAGAAAGCCGCTTTCTTCTGTCAATAGTAACCATCTTTTGTTTATTAATTGCCATTCAGGAGATTACATTAGAGCCCAAACTGTAAGTATTCGCATCAACCTTTAGCAATAAATTCCAGGGAACATGAAAGTGAATAAATCATCCCAGATATAAGGCATGTTATCTAAAAGGAGCTCATCTAAAGCTTAGCAAGGAGTCACATCTGAGAAGGAACAAATACCTTGTTCCTCATTCTAAGCAAAATGGACATTAAGGGTTCATGGGTTTTGCAGGATTAACAGAGCCAGCAATTAATTCACTTTACAATAGAAGTCACAAATTAAAGGTGTCAGCTGATCATGGCCAAAATTATAACTCAGTTCTACTGGGTGTAGTACATGGTAAAACTAAAAGCAAAGAGGGTGGTTGAGTCCTGGGTTGTAAATGTGGATTTGGGGGTTTTCAGGCTTGGAAAAAGTGTTTCTATTTATTTCTAGAGTGTAAACAATGGTGTAAAAGTGGAAGAGAGACAGAGGAGAGTACAATATCAGGAAAGTCTTCACAAGGACTTACAGGTGCACCGACCTGACAAAACTGAATCTCCAAGATCAAGGGGACTTTGACATGGACCTTGATTAGGACTCACATTTTCTTTATGTGTCGGAAGGCTTCTGATGGCAGGTCAAGGTTACTGGTTGTGGGAGGGTTTATTATGTCAATTGATGGGCATCAGCACTATATTCCAACAAAACACTTGGAATAAAGTAGCCTACCACGTAAAGATTTTACGACGTACAATAAATCGTCACATTCAGTCCTTCTTCTCCACTCCTATCCTCACAATTCCAGTTTAGATGCACATCGCATTGGAAATTCTGTAAGTTTTAGAATAGAAGATTCACTGCCTATTTTTAGCCTAACTATTTATACAAATCATATTTTTTTTTAGGCTCCCACTGATAGTAGAGGTCTCTTTGAAGGGATAATGAAAAAATGAGTAATTAATCAAAATCAAAACCTCAGTCATTCTATCTTATTGAAGTCATCCTAAAATATGATCACTCCTCACGTTTTCATCTGTAGCTGATATGATACTGGCTTTGGCTGATTTTAAGCAATTGTCTAAGAGAGTGATCTATGAATACCATGTGTTATCAGTCACAGGGTGGACTTTGTCCAAATTTGAGCATTTCTTGTCCCACTTTGAGCATCTACAAAACTAATCTGAAAATGACTGTTCAATGATTTCAAGGCCAGCTTATGTTAGTAGCAAATGCCAAGGAATAAATCCTCTTCCAAATTTTAGTAACAAGTCTTTATTTTTTAACTTGTGACTTCTATGTCCAGTGACCATGTTCTCTAAGATCCAGATAAACTTATCTTGCTGTCAGAAATATGAACTTGACATACACAGACTTCTTGAAATAAATGATACAACAATTGCCAAGGGTGCTAACAGAGGGATCTTATGTGATAAAAATTATTCTGCAGGTGGTAAAATAAAAATATTCTTAAAGTTCCATGTGCCAAATATTTCCTTAAAATAAAAGCCTCATAAAGAAATACAACTTTAAATCATTGTTTTGAAGATGTTATAGGCAAGCAAAAGATATAAATAGCATCCAAATAGGAAATGAAGAAGTCAAACTGTCACTATTTGCGGATGACATGATTCTCTATAAAGAAAACCCTAAAGACTCCATAAGAACACTACTAGAAACAATAAGCAAATACAGTAAAGTTTCTGGATACAAAATCAACGTTAAAAAACCCATAGTGTTCCTATACTCTAATAATGAAGTGTCAGAAAAAGAAGTGAAAAAAAAAATTCCTTTTGCAATTGCAACAAAAAGAATAAAATACCTAGGAATAAATCTAATGAAACACGTGACAGAACTATACAATAGAAACTATAAGACCCTATTAAAAGAAATTGAAGAAGATACAAAGAAATAGAAAGATATTCTGTGTTCTTGGATTGGAAGAATCAACATAGTTAAAATGACCTTATTACCTAAAGCATTATACAGATTTAATGCAATCCCCATCAAAATCCCATTGGCATGTTTTAAAGAAATAGAATAAAAAATCATGAGATTTGCATGGAAGCACAAAAGACCCCAAATTGCCAAAGCCATCCTGAGAAAAAAGAACAAGGCTGGAGGTATCACTCTGCCTGACTTCAAGTTATACTACAAAGCAACAATAATCAAAATGGCATGGTATTGGCAAAAAAAAAAAAAAAAACAAATAGACACATGGACCAGTGGTACAGAATCGAGAATCCAGAAGCAAACCCATATCTATATGGGCAAATAATTTTTGACAAAAGAGCCAAAAACATAGGTTGGAGAAAGGAAAGCCTCTTCAATAAATGGTGCTGGGAAAACTGGAAAGCCACCTGCAAAAAATATGAAACTAGATTTTTGTCTATCACCACACACCAAAATTAACTCAAAATGGATTAAGGACCTGAAGATAAGACCTGAAACAATAAAATGCATAGAAGAAAACATAGGAACTAAACTCAAGGACCTTAGATTTAAAGAGGATTTTATGAATTTGACCTCAAAGGCAAGGGAAGTAAAAGCTAAAATAAAGGAATGGGACTACATCAAACTAAAAAGCTTCTGCTCAGCAAAAGAAACTGTCGACAAGGTAAAGAGACAACCGTCTCAATGGGAAAATATATTTGCAAGCAACGCTTCCGATAAAGGCCTAATATCCAAAATATACAAAGAACTCATACAACTCAATAACAAAAAACCAAATGATCCAATCAAAAAATGGGCAGAGGACGTGAACAGACACTTCTCCCTAGAGGACATACAAGTGGCCAACAAATATATGAAAAGATGCTCAACATTACTAGCTA